TGATTGTCGACGTGACATTTCAAAAAATGTTAAAATGCTTTTGCTTGAGTTTTAGCCCAGTCCGTTTATAGGCATTTAGATCTGGTTAAGCACTGGTTGCCAGATTTTCTTAGTACATTATCCACTAAGCCATAACTGTTGCTAAGAAAACCTTAATTCCTATTAGAATGTTAAAACTTGGTTAAAAAAAAAAAGATTTAGTTTTTTCACAAGAGCACAATTAGCTGTTGTTTCACTTGCAATACTAAAGGTTTAATAATACCCAACACTAAAAATTAAAATATAAAATGCATTTGGTACCAACACTATATATTATTTCAATCCTCGTAGAACTTTCCTGAATCATTGGAAATATTTCAGGGAAAATTACTCAGAGAGAACAGATACCTGCATTACATTGCTCTAAAATTAAGGTAGAATTATTGTACACCATTAAAATTTGTAATCTCCTGTTAATGAAGTTTAAAAAGACAGCACATTTATTGCAAGGGAGCTGAGAGTAGGGAAGTAGTAATTATCAGAATATATGCACCAAATCATTATTCCACCTCATTCCTTATGCATTTAAACTGTCTCTCTCCGCCACATGAGTCTTTTGTAATAAAAACTGAAGATTTTGATTGCCTACTTAATGAAAATTTAGATGCAGTCCACAGCTAGTTTAAGAGAAGAAAAATCTTAAATTTTATTACCATAGCTCCCAGATTAATTAATGGCACAAGGGTTAAAATTTCAAATACACATTGGTCTTGTTAACATATAATTGATTCTAACTCCTCAAAGACAGTTCCTCCTTTTTAATGCCAGGCATCTATGCTGTAAAACAAGGTAATGTTAGTGAGAAACTCAGCATAGAAAGAAGGGTCTACGTAGGCTTCATGGATTTGTCTCTTTCTACAATTTATTTTTCATCATAATAAAACAAGCGTTCAAGCGTGTACTGTCTACCACACACTTTACAAGAACTATCTTGTTTAAACCTGACAACAATCCTCTGTGGTATGAATTAATGTTTTCCTTATTACATGAAGGAAAATTTCATGACCCAAAAAAGTTAACTAACTTGTTCAAGGTAATTCTGCTGGTAATGGCATACCTTGAATTTGAATACATGCTCAGCTGACACTTGAATTTGAGCTGTATCACTGAGCAAACCTGCAGTCATCAAAACATCTGATAAATTCTTTCCACAAAGTCAGAAAACTTCAAATCAGACAGGCTATTTCACTAAAATTTTTTTCTTTCACTACTGCTTATAAATGAACCTGCCAGCAAGACCAGGCAAAAGCTTATCGGATGCTCTGCTCTCAGCAGAATGAGACTCCTGAAGCATGTACATATATTTGAAGTCCTCTATCGGTACTTGATCATGCCTATAACAATTTTATGATTTATGTGAGCAAAAAGCCCCAACTTCCTCTGCCTGGCCAGTCAATCCACAGCACCCCCCCTAAGTAACATCCCTCTCTGAAAAAGCACAGACACCTGAAGATACTTTTTTAAGTTGCTTATTTTTTGCTTTTAGTTGACACATAATAATTGTGCATATTTACGGGGTCCTGTGTGATGTTTTGATACATGTATACTTTATATAATGATCAAATCAGGGCAATTAATATATCTATCACCTCAAACAGTTGCCGTTTCTTTGTGGTTGGGACATCTAAAATCTTCTAGCTAAGTCAAGCACCATATAATAATGGCATTTAGTCAAGGGTGGACCACATGTGATAGTCATCCCATAATATTATAATAGAACTGAAAAAAATTTCTATCACCTAGTGAGGTCTTAAAGATCCTAATCCTGTTTAGGCCTAATATAATGTGTGTGTTTGTATCTTAGTTGTTAAAAAAAAAAAAGTTTAGGCACTGTGGCTTACATCTGTAATCCCAGCACTTTGGGAGGCCAAGGTGGGCAGATCACTTAAGGTCAGGAGTTTGAGACCAGCCTGGCCAACGTGGTGAAACTCCATCTCTACTAAAATGACAAAAATTAGCTGAGTATGGTGGCACATGCCTGCAGTTCTAGCTACCTGGGAGACCGCGGCAGGAGAATTGCTGGAACACGGGAGGCGGAGGCTGCAGTGAGGTGCAGTGAGGTGAGATCACACCACTGCATTCCAGCCCGGGTGATGGAGTAAGCCTCCATCTCAAAAAAAAAAAAAAAAAACACTTTAAAAAGTAAAATAAAAGGAAAAAACTTATAGAATAAGGGTATAGAGAAAAAATATTATTGTACAACTATTCAATGTCTTTGCATCTTAAGCTGTTACTACAAAAGATTTAAAAGGGTTTTTTTTAAGTTTAAAAAGTTAAAAAGTTACAGTTAGCTAAGGTTAATTTATTATTGAAGAAGGAAACATTTTTCTAAGTTTGGTGTAGCCTGAGGGTGCAGTGTTTACGAAGCCGACAGTAGTGTAATGACCTAGGCCTTCATGTTCACTCAGCAGTCACTCACTGAGTCACCCAGAGCAACCTGCCGTGCTGCAGGCTCCACTCATGGGAAGTGTCCTACACAGGTGTACCATTTCAATCTTTGACAACATATTTTTACTGTAACATTTCTAGGTTCAGCTACGTTTAGATACACAAATACTTGCCATTTTGTTACAACTGCCTAGAATATTCAGTGCAGTAACATGCTGTACACGTTTACAACCTAGGAGCAATAGGGTATACCACCTGGATTTGTGAGAATATAATGTATGAAGTTCACACAACGATAAAATAGCCTAAGAACACATTTCACAGAAGATGTTCTCATCATTATGCAATGCGTAATTGTATTTCGAAATATCCTGTATGTTGTTGATAACTATAGTCATCTAACTGTGCAATAGAGGATCAGAACTTATTCATCCCATCTAATTTTAACTTTGTAGTCACTGACCAATCTCTCACAATACCCCTCCCCACGACTCTCCCTGGACTCTGGTAACCAGCATTCTACTCTATGCTTCAATGAGATCACCTTTTTTCAGATTCCATATATGAGATAATACAGTATTTTTTCCTTCTGTCCTTGGCTTATTTAACTTAACAATGCCCTCTAGGTTCATTCATGTTGCTGCAAATGACAGGATTCAATTCCCTTTTATGGCTGTATAGTATTCCATTGTGTATATATGACACATGTTTTTAACCATCCACTTGTTGAGAGACACTTAGATTGATTCCATATCTTGGCAATTGCAAAGAGTATACCAATAAACATATGTGTGCAGATATGTCTCTGACATAGTGATTTTATTTTCTCTGGATATATGGTCAGTAGTAGTATTGCTGGGACAAATGGTAGTTTTATTTTTAATCATTAGAGAAACTTTTGTTGTTGTCCATAACGACTATCTAACTTGCGTTCTCAACAGTGTGTGAGTGCCTCTTTCACCGTATCCTCACCAGCGTTTGTCATATATTTTTTCTTTTTCTCAATATCCAATCTAACTGGAGTGAGATGATATCTCATTGTAAGTTTCGTGTTTGCATTTCCCTGATGATGAGTGATGTCGAACATTTTTTCATCTAATTCCTGGTCATTTATATGTCATCTTTTGAGAAATGTCTATTCAGATCTTTTGCCTTATTTTTAATCAGCTAGCTTGGAGGGTCGGTTTCTGCCATTGAGTTTTTTATTTATTCTTGATATTAACCCTTTATCAGCAGTATAGTTTGCAAATATTTTCTCTCATTCTGTGGGTCGTTGCTTCACTCTACTGATTGAATCCTCTGCTGTGCAGAAGATTTTTAGTTTGATGTAATCCCATTTGTCTAATTTTGCTTTTGTTGCCTGTGCTTTTAAGGCCTTATACAAAAAAAAATCTTTGTCCAGACCAATGTCCCAGAGCACTTCCCCAACGTTTTCTTCTAGTGTTTTCATAGTTTCACACCCTACATTTACATCTTCGATTGATTTTGAGTTGATTTTAATAGATGGTGAGAGATAGGGGTTTGTTCATTCCTCTGCAGAGAGACATCCAGTTTTCCCAGAACCATTTATTGAAGAGACTGTCCTTTCCCTACTCTCTCAAACAAGATAAGGCATTGTCCCCTCTATGCTAACTGTCCCCACTTAGCCCTCCCTTCCATCAGAACACAGACCACATTGCAGATGAATCATCTTCATACACCAAGCCCGCCTCTTCGTTTTCAATGACTCTGTTGGTGAACACAGGAAATCCATATCTCAATCTTCCATTTTCCTAAGACTTGTTGCAACACCTGATTGTTATTATTGTGATTTTCCCCTCATGAATCGGCCCAAATTATTTTTTTAATAAACACAGTATCTTTAATTTTGTAAACAAGAAAAGCAAAAAATAGCCACAAGCAATTCATCTCAAAGTCATGAAGAATCTGAAGCTTCTGCTTGAGAAAAGGCCCTTGAAGACAGAGTATGCATATTATTGCACAGGGTTGTATTTCAGGCTCCTCTATACTTCAAACATTTCAGAGAATTCTAATCATTGAGGAAATTCCAAATTAATATTTAGTCTTTTGGAAACTAATTTTGTGAATAATTTCATTATAATAGCCTGCAACTATGATTATAAATGAGGAACCACTTTGGAAATTAATAGTTTGGTTGCTGAAACAAAAAAGTTATTAACTCTATATCATTAATTAAAATAATACATGGTACTACTAATCATGTCCATACAGAATAAATAGTATCTGGAAAACTGTAAATTATATAAATCCTAAAAAACCTAAAATAAAACGGAAACTAAAGACTATTTAGCCAAAGCAAACTTCTTGTTCTCCCTGAAGGGAAAACATAAAGGTCTTTTAGAAGATTAAAGATTCATGTCTGTGCTGCTTTCTGAAAATTCCTATGAATCATTCAGTCTTATTGAAATGCACAATTACTACTTACATAAATAGAACATTCTCATATATATGTAGATGTGTGTGTGATGATTTGTGCATTTTTGTGGCATCAATGTAACTAAAGCTTTAAACTTCGTTATATTAAAAAATAAATCATTTGCGGTCTTTGCCAGCTTCTATTCTGCCTAGAGCTGTGAAAGGAAGGAGTGGAGGAGGACAAAATTAGATATCCCAGGAATAGAAGGCTCATTGGAGTACAATATCATCTGAAAATCCAAGAAACTTGAATCTTATCTGACAATATTCTCAGGAGATCCTCAGGATGGTAAGTAGCTATTTTGTGTCTAAACAATTTCTAAGACTAGAGAAATTCCAAGCTTTCCACAGATGCTACCAGTAAAATGTTACAGAAGGGAGTTCATTTTTGCCTCAGTAATGATGCCTTAGCACAGTAGGGTTGTGTGTTCATGAGTGGGCATGTGCGTAGTATCCAGGTAAGTGCTTAGTTGGTGTCCAGAGCTAAGGAAAGAGAGAAGAAGCCAGCAAGCACATGCAGGGAATGGCAATCTTTGGTCTGTAGCGGAAGCAGCTGGACAGTAAATGACAAGAAATAGTGAGGGAAGCCAGATGAAGTGACTGAGTTGTTTACTAATGATCTCCATGTGTCTTTTGGGAACATACAGGGTCATATTTCTTATCTACTCAAATAAAATGTTATTTGACAGCAGAAGCAATTGTATCTGTGGCGGGCAGAACAATATCCCGCTAAAGATGTCTATGTCCTAATCCTTGGAACTTGGAGCCATTTCAACTTCCAGGGCAAAAGGGACTTTGGAGATGTGGTTAAGTTAAAAATCTTGAGATGGGGAGATTTCCCCGGATTTCTGGGTGAGCCTAACGTAATCAGTCACAAGGAAATCAAGAGGGATAAAGTTAGAGAAGATGCGACAATGGCAGTGCAGTCAGAAGGGTGCAGCCTGGAGCCAAGGAGTGTGAGCTCCTCCTGAAGCTAGAGGAGTAAGGTTCTCCCCATGAGCTTCTGGAAGGAACACAAGCTCTGCTGATTCCACTTTGATGTTAGTCCCAAAAGACCCATTTCAGAATTCTGACTTCCATAACTTTAAGATAAGTTCCTGTTGTTTTAAGCCACTAAGTGTATGGTAATTTGTCAGAGCAATTGTAGGAAACGAATACAGTGTCTTTGCTAATCTTTGTTTCCATTGCTCTCTTCACTCTAAATTCACATGTTCTTTCTACATGAAGTGATCTTAGCTAGCACTCTATTTTGTACCATAAAGGCACAAAACATTTGTGTCAGAATATGCTCTTATACATCAGGAAATTTCCTTCAACTTCAAAGACTAGAAATATTTAAAGTTCTAGATATGGTCATTCAGGAAGTGCTGAATAATAATTCCAATGTTGTCACAATGTATCTTTTATCCCATCTGAACCTTCATCCTCCCATATGTACCTAGGCTAGGAAAAGAACTCAGACATTGTAACAAATGTAATACAAGGCCATGGCGATAGGGTGGTGTAATGACTCTGGAGAAGACTTGGGTTGTACAAGGTTATATGGAACCTGTGCCAGAGAAACCAACAGATAGCCAAAGATTTCAATCAGCCTTACGAAGCCAACCAGGAAACTGTCACAAAGTTCTGCTGCCTAAGCGGCATGGAACACACTGATAACAAAATAGAAGTTCAGCATGCCCTTTAGGGGACTGGTAGAAAAACCAGTGTATCTTTGTGATCTGCAGTCCAGTGAGCCTTGTTCCAACAAGAATTCAAATTGGCTGCTATCTCTTTATCTTGAAACTGGACCACAGCTTGGTAGAGGAGTTGACCGCTCTATGTAGGTGGGCCCACCCAAACCTTGAAGGATTCTATTCAAATATCTTCAGTATCCCTAACAGAGGCAGGTGGATTGGGGAGCCTTGAGGGTACTCATAGTTTAGATAACAACTCACTCCTCAAGATACTAATCCTTCTATTTATCTTGGACTCAGCCCCTGTCAGCCTATGCACTCATTGTCAGATCAGGAGCCATGACAGCAAACTCTGTGCCAGAGAACTAATATTAACATTCCTTAACCATGGGTTCTCCCAAGAAAGGGTCAGGGATTGTTCTTACAATGGTGGTCACTGGCCCCCATGGGGAAAGGGGCCAAAAGAAAGACAAATTGTAAGACCAAGTAGAATTTGGGTCCCAGATGAACAGATAGATTTTTTTTCTTGGTTCTCGTCTCCCAAAGGAGGTCTCTCCTCTGGGATTTCTAATTCTAGGAAAAAAGACTGTTATAGGTCAAAGGGGAGCTTCCAAATAGTCAATAAAAGGCCCTATTTCTTAGGAGTTAGAACCACAAGGGACAGAAAATGTTGTTGGCTTGATTATGTGGGATACAGCTTCAGTCGGACAGAAATCTGGTGATCCTCAAGGGGGCTGAGTCTATCACAGGGGTGGCTCAACTATTTGGACAGCTAAAAACTATCCATTATGTGCCTGCTGCTCTGCTCATCACTGGAGAGAGAGGCGTGATTAGAAGATGGCCCTTCACACGCAGGGATCGGTATAGAGTTATACTGTTCTGAGTTAAACTCCTGGCCCCATCTCTGAGTAGTTGTGTGATTTTGATCAATTTCTACTGTCTCCATTTCATCTATAAAGTTAGAATATTAATCCCTGTCTTCTAATTAAGGTTGGTGGATGTTGTTTCCATTTGGTTACTCAGAATCAAGTGAGGAGAGAAACAAGGACATAGATGCCTGAACGCGGTGAGAGAGGCACATGCAGATGTGTAGACTTGCAGAAGACATAGCTGGAAGGGATAAATAGTAAACAATTTATAGGACATGGTAAAAAAAAAAGCCTACAATCCAGTTGGGATCCTAATTTACCAGATTTAGGGGTCAGGGCTTTAGCCAGATAGGCCCTACCAGAACATCCCATCCATTCAGCCTAAAGGCACAAGTCGACCTTCTGTGGTGCTCTTTCTTGTTCAAGGGTGAATTGGAACTATTAAAATAGCATTCACTCACCCGCATGTGCAGTTGGTCATTCAGCTACTATTTGGCCAGGGGAAGCTGCAAGCCTCAGTCAAGGCTGAGGACTCTGATGAAATGTTCATTCTGAAGCAGCAGTTCAGCTGCCCTCGGATCCTCAGGCATAGGTTGAGTTCAATTCCATCGACTAGCATGGATTCCTTTCTCATTTCTCTATTTAAACATGCTAGTGTACATTCAACGTCAATCAAAGTATACTTTAAACAATGAAATTGGATCAACTTAAATTAAGGAGAAAAATTAAGAAATAATTACTGTAATTAGAGTAAAATTAATATATATTTAAGACAGTTAAATCACACTTGGATTCCCTAACTGGATGCCTTTTGCTGGCCATTTTATTTGATGGCATAATTCAGTCTCAAGTAGGAGGCCTGCCTGTAACAGATGAGAAGTTCACTGGCAGAATATCAGTTTATATTGCATTCATGGAGCAGCATTGCTCACCAAATTGTCTGTCTGGATCGCGTGTGCAATTTGGGTGATCTTAAGGCATATGACTTAACGGGATAGAGAAATTTTTTACAGTTTTTTGAATCCTAAGTCCTTATCTCCATGTATCAATTGGATTGAGGGTCAGCTTCTCCCCTCTGCCCAGTTCTGTTTTTCTCAATTCCTTACAGTGTTTCTCCTAAGAGCACTCTCCAGTCAACATTCTGCAAGCAACTTTACATCTCAAAGTCTGAAACCCAGCCTAACATGGAGTTGTCAATCAAAGTGGCCCCCTCCAGAAGCTTTACCCAAATTTTAATTACTCTGCTTATGCTCAGAACCCACAAAAAATTCCTTCGAAACCTTTTTAAACCAGAAGCACATTTTTTGGGGACATCTACCCCAAAGTGCCACATATTTACCATCTGGGGTTATGTATGTATATTTTTGGGAAACCGACAAAAGTTACTCTAAACTGGCTCTGAGGAATAAATTCTGTGACTAAGCGAGGGTCTACCACTTATATGCAGCTAAAATGTTTTGATAATGATTTTCGTAAATGGCGGTCACCATAGTTAGAAAGCAGAACCCAAAAAGAAGTTTCAAAATGCTTTGACCAAAAATGGCATCAGGGAGATAAGTGTGTAGCCTCCCAAGAGAATTACCTAGAACGATAAACCTCTTTCCGTATAACTCCCACCATTCTTGGTAAAATGCCAGTCCCATGATTTTATAGTTACACTGAGACATTACTTAGAGCCTGTTATTACCCCTTGTAATTATACTTTCAGTCATAAAGATCTCCATGGACTATGGGACATTAGGACCTAGATTGGAGGATATAAAGAAATGAGAAGGTTTAAGTAGCATCTGGTATTTTTTCCAGTACAAGAACTTGAGCGTATTTATAGACTTATGTCAGGAATTGTCTCATTCATCCGTTCATTCCTAGCTCCAAGCCCAGTGCCTGATATATAATAAGCCATGGTAGAGGTAAATTATTTAATTATTAGAGAAGTGCTAGAGAAAAGCCCTTCCAGCAAAAAAAAAAATTATAAATTATGAATACATATAATAATTATATTATTCTTTATATGCATGTAGCTTATTTCATATGTCTATGTGGCTTCCCTTCGTATTTTTCCTCAATTTCATATTTCCCCTTAATGAGTAGCAGGACACTAAAAATCAAAATAGCCTATGCTTGTTTTCAGTGATAGCAGAGACTGACTCCTCTGCAGGTCTTAGCAGTAGAAAAACTGAAAAATAAAGTGAATAGAGGCTGTTGACAAAAGGGGAGGGAAAGACTGAGGAATCCCTAGTGCCTGGAAGTAGAAGAAGCGGGAGACTAAGGAGCCACCCCAACCTGTATACAGGCCTCGGGTTCTGAATGCAACTTTACCGAGCAGGAGATTCTCAAGGCCCACCAAACAGGAAGCATCAAGGCAGTAATAACCAGTGGCACATGTGTAAGCATCAAAAAAGGTAAAGTTGACAATTGGTGCCATGTGAACTAGGAAGGGCAGAGATCAACACACACTGGGGAAAAGATTCGTAAGAGGAGTATTGGTCTGTTTCGCATTGCTATAAAGAAATATCTGAGACTGGGTAATTTAGAATGAAAAGAGGTCTATTTGGCTCACAGTTCTGTAGCCTATACCAGAAGCATGTGCCAGCATGTGCTTCTGGTGAGGCCCTCAAGAAGCTTAATGGAAAGAATTAGGTGCCAGATTCTTTTAAACAACCAGCTCTCACATATTAATAGGATGAGAACTTACTTATTACCAAGGGGATGGTGCCAAGCCACTCATGAGGGATCTGCCTCCA